TGATCTCTGTCAGCAAAGGATCCTTTCTGAAGGCCAGTGCCCTTTCCTGCCGGGCCTCACCGAGTTAACGCTCCGGTTGCTCCCTGCTCCCCTGGAGATTACCCAAACTCCATCCCTATTAGCGGCTGCTGGAGGCAGCTCAAAGAGGAATGGCAGCGCGAGGTCTCGGGGTCAAGCTGCATTCCAGACAAGATGATGCTCTCAGGATCCGGGACCTCCTTAACCACTGATGGCTCCTCGGCTTCCCGCATACAGGCTTGAGCTGAGCCTCCTCGGGCTGGGCTGTGGCTGCCGAGGTGGACAGCGAAGCCGTGGCCCTGGGTGGAATGTGCGTGAAATCGCCGCTAATCCCGACCACCTGGGCATGTCCAGAGGCAGATGGGGTGTCTCTTCAAAGCCGGGGCCCTGCAGAGGCTCCCTGCCTCCAGGTCCTCTCCCGCTCCTTTGCAAAGCCTCTAAGTGCTGTTTGGGCTGGGGAAAATATTCAGAGGGCAGGAGCTGGGCAGGGCGGGGAGGGGTGTGGGGCAGTGGTTGTCTGCCAGAGCCCCTGCTGCTGGTTGGACAGGGGGAGCCGGCTCGGAGCTGCTCTCACACGTGATTGTCATTAGCACGGAGGAATTTTACGCAGACGCTTCTGATTCTCATCTCCTGGGACAGATTGGACAAAGGGCTTTGGGGCCAGGGTCCCCCGAGGATAGGACTGACTGGAATCAAAATCAGGCCACTTGCACAGCAGTGACAGCAGGAGAAAACAGATCCCCCTTTGCAAAATACCCATGGCAGGCTGGCATGCCCTGGCGGAGGGCAGGGGGCCGTGAGGAGAGGCACACGGCTCTGGCTACTCCATCTCTCCTGATGTACACCGGTCAGGGAGAGGGGAGGCGGGAGCTGGGTGAGGGCAGAGCCCTCCAGCCCATGGGGCAGTGCCGTGGCTCTCAGCCGGGTCCTGCTGCTTTGTATAGGATGATCCGGGTGCAAGGAGGATCACATACATGGGCATGGGAGCGCACACCCCAGCACTGGTGCCCAGAGGTGCCTCCTATGCAGGCAACTGCTGGCATGTGGAAGCTGGCACACTGCCTCCATGCACTAACGCGATGCGACAGAGAGCTCTTGGCACCCTGGAAACCTCAACCGCCTGACACTCGGGATGCCAGCTTCACCTCTTGTGAGAGTCACACGACATTGAGCTGTGCCAGGGAGTCAAGGCCAGCATGGCAGAGCCCCGACACTGCAGCAAACCCCCTGGACTGGCTCCCGTCCCTGCCAGCTGTGGATATACACAGGGTGGCTCTGGATACCCCGGGCAGGTTCTCAGGGGGCTGGGACGTGTGTGTGAGCTGGCAGAGGCAGAGGCAGGGCAAGGGAGGGGGCTTCTCAGAGCAGGGGCTGGGAGCACCGTGGGGTGGGGGGGTGTTGGGGATTTGCAGCTGTCACCTGCAAAGGCGTGTGCCACCATGAACCACACGACAGGCTGTAGCCACCTCTGTGCCACCTGCCTCTCTGGCTCTTCAGGGAGGGCCCCCTCAGCTCTTCTCCAGCTGGAAATGCAGGGCCCAGTCCTCCCCCAGGTGAAAAATTGCCTGTACCTGTGGCGGTGGGAGGGGTCGGGCAGGAGCCTGCTCCCCCACGCACGTGGCAGCCGTGCCTGGATCTGGCCAGGAGGCTGCTCTGCAGCTTCCCCTCCGAGACCCCCAGCACTGAGGTCCTGGTCCCCCAGCAGCACCAATTGGGGTGGGGGCAGAGGGGTATAGGCCAACGGAGAGGAGCACCCCACGTCACCAGCCATGGGAACAGGGTGCAGGGAGGAGCAGCAAGAGCCTTGGAGACCCCAAGGCAGGTAAGACTGACTCTCTCCTCCCACTCCCCGTCTCCGGCACTTGCCCCCATACCCCTCGTCCTTTGCAGGGAGGTTTTGATCTGGGCTCTGGACTGCATAATTACCCCTCTGGGCCCTCACTAGCCCATGCCATGCCCATCCCCCCCAGGTGCCAACCCCACGCTGCAGCTTGCACTGTCCGTGGGGCAGCTAAACCAGGACCTCAGATAGGCCTGCATACGGGACCATGGCTCTGGGCACCATGTCGTTTCTGGCTAGCCCGGCACCCCCTCAGGCAACCCCATGGCCGATTCTCTACCCTGGGAACTGTTGCTTCCTCCAGCCTGTGGTCCCATTAGAGGCAGGACCCAGCCCTCTCCTGGGGGCAGCCCCTGGGCCCTGCCTTCCCTGGTGCAGTGAGATCACACTGGCCTGCAGAGATTCCCTGTCCAAGCCCTTCCCTGCTCTCTGCTTGCCCTTCTGGCCGGCATGTACAGCAAAAGGCACATGCTGCTTAGCCCAGCCATGGCCCCATCACTTAGCTAAGCTCAGGTCGCCCCTCCTGCCACTTCTGCTCCCAGCCTGCGATTGCCCTTTGCAGACAGGAGCTGGCTGTGGGGACACCCCAGTCCAGCCATGCCTTCCTGCTACGGCTGTTTTATTTAGCATCCTTTTAGCTCATTGTTGCGCTTGGAGGCTCAGCCAGTGGAGACAGCCCACGGCGCGTGACCCTCCTTTGCGGACGCGCCTGTGTGAGCCAGGGTGGGAAGCCACATGGCAGATGGGCTATCTCTGAGCCTCTCGCATGGGTGGGGTGGGCAGGCCTGTGTGCAGGTGAACTGCGGCAATGGGGAGAGCTTGGGAGCGTGGTTGCAAGTGCACGGAGAGTGAGGAGGGTGGAAAGATCAGGACTCCTGGGTTTGCTTGTCCTTGGACAGTTTACTGCATTGCTTGTGCCTTGATTTCCCCATCCAGAGTGGGGGCAGGCATGAGGCTTGTTAGAGATTGCTCAAACAGGGCAGCGTCAGCTCCACTGCTTCCAAAGTGAGGCATGTGTGGATGCTCTCTCTCATCAGCGCCCGCCTCTGACCCTCGGGGCTGGGCATGTCTGCAGTGCCCCGTGCAGCTTGGAGTGGGGACAGGCTCGCTCAGCCCCTCCATTCTTTGCTGTTTGGCTCTGCAGCTGCATTGCAGAGCCCCGGGCCTGGGACGTGTGTCTAGCTCCTGCGGCATGAAATGCTGCTGCCGCCGGCTGTCTGGACAGGGCAGTAAATCTGTGTTGGGACTGTCATGGCAGATGGAGACATCAGCTGGGTGGTGGTTCGTACCAGGGTGTTTTTCATGGCTGGCAGGGCCTGTGCTAGGGACAGAGGCCTTCGCGCGACAGCCTCCTAACAGGTTCTTGACATCCATTGGGGAAGGCTGTCAGCCCACTTGGCTTGGTTTAATTGGGCGTCGCAATTGGTTAAATCGAGGGGACCCCATCTCCCGAATCGCTCTGTGGGGTGTGATGTGGGGAGGATCTACGTCTCATGTACACCTCTGATTAGCTGCTTGCAGGGCGCCGCTCTCACTGCCGGTTCTGATTGGGTCATT